GTAACTTAAAAATCTTGGATATAATAACGCTTAAATTAAATTGGTAGGGCCTATATTGGGTGTATCATAATAAGATACTTAATACTAAAGTGAATCAAGTTCTAGAAAAGGTTCACGTATCATTAAATTAAAAGCAAAATCCCTCTCCTTGCTAATTCTAGTATTGTTGATGTTCTACTGCTGCGCCATCTATTACTTTCCTGATTTGCCTGTGTCCTGATTTGCCGTTTCCGCCATTTTCTGACCTGGATTGCCGGTTTCTCCTAAAGCGAGTCTGCGTCCTCTCAAAACTTCTGCACCACAGACCTATGTTTGAAAAACAAAACAACTGGCATCGATGTACAATGCTAGCACAAGATGGGCTTCTTAAATATAGTTCCCACATTGACCGTAAGCATCCCCTCACTAGGTATGCAGTTTTAACACAGTCTAAAAGCAGAATAAATTTTGAATATCAGTTACATTCTTTTTGTTCCTCGGTAACTGCATTATCCACTCAGCGAATCAGTTTTGATACTGTAGTTGACCTGTTAGTATCTTTTTTCCTTTATATATTTAAAATTCATTTGAGTAAGATGAATATTTTGGTAATTATCAGTGTAAAGAAACCTGCTGGGCTCGTTGAACATTGTAATAGTTATTTAAGCCCTGATACTGGAATCTACCTGGATAAGGCTATTACCTGTATGTAAAGTAGGCCTATGCAACCCAAGTTAACCCAGGTGAGCTTTAACCAAAATCTGACCACTGCTCTACCCGTGTAGCTTTTGGTTATAGCCGCAGTTATGCAAATGAATCAATACTACAAATGAATCAATACTACAAGTCAAATAAATGTGATTGGTTTATCTGTCCCTGCATAACCTCTGCAACGCAGCATTTACTTAACCATGATTATTTGATATGTCATTATAAACTGTTGCATAACCATTGCGTTAGGTCATCTTACACGTCTAGTACCTTCAGGTACCGTAGCGTACCTCAGAATATTTTGTTTCTAATCAATGACCCCCACTTGGCAAAATGATGCAACAGTTTTGAATGTTTTGATAAGGAATATGTAATTAAGGTCCACTGACCGCTAGTACATGTGGTTTATTACAAATTTATACTTCAATTTTGTTTGCTGTTTTAGAGGTCCTTGATATAAGAAGAGGGTAGGCCTACCAGTCACGAAGTCTGTCAACTTTTTTACTTTTGCACTTAAGTCCACTTTCTAACATTTTTTAGTTTTTCAGCTGGTTTTACGTTTTAATCTCATCATAAAATTCCGTTTTCACAGCGTTTTAAGTTAGGGCTATGTCTTAACATGTAATTATCCTTTACATTAGGTCTATTAATTTTAGTGTCTCACTTTCAATCGATTTTTTCTAAGGTCTTAGATTCTCTTTATTTTTATGAAAACAGCAATGAAATGCATGTTAAGTGCGGTTTTAAAATTATTATTATTATTATTATTATTATTATTATTATTATTAAAAACTAGAATTCTTTTAGTAAATTGTCGAACTATTATTTTTGAATAGAGACATTGATCAAGGTCAGTACATACATGTAACTGAATTTAGGGAAATATCGCTACTGGATTAACTGGTACGAGTTGGAGGTAGCTAATACTCCATAAGTAGGCCTACCTTATATATTTTATGCTATACTTAAAAGATAACATCTTAATTTCCTTTAAAGTCCCCATAAGTAAAACGATGTGCAAGTAATGCAGCATATACTCTGTAAAATAAGTTTATGTATCTGGCTTATTTCACAACGTACAGTATTAGTGCAAAGTCAGACCATCTTTAAAAAGTTCGTGAAATCGTCAGTGTCATTATTTGAGATATGTCAACAGAAATTAATAACAAAAAATTACAAAGAGATTTCTTTTATGTCAGCAACTACATATCGATCTTAATTTCCATTGTTGATCAATGATGAGCCCGACTGTCCCTTTATACTGTGACCTGTTGATATCTTTTTCCATTTATATATTTAGAATTCATTTGAGTAAGAAGAATATTTTGATATTCATCAGTGTAAAGAAACCTGCTGGGCTTGCTGAACATTGTAATAGTTTTTAAAGCCCTGATACTGGAATCTACCTGGATAAGGCTATTATCTAAAATAAACAACACAAGTTAACCCAGGTACGTGGTGAGCTCTAACCAAAATCTGACCACTGCACTACCCGTGTAGCTTTTGATTATAGCAACAGTTATGCAAATGAATCAATACTACAAGTCAAATAAATGTGATTGGCTTATCTGTCACTGCATAACCTCTGCAACGCAACATTTAATACTTTGATATGTCGTTATACACTGTTGTATAACCATTATCATAGGTCAACTAGTCCCTGCAGGTACCGAAGCGTACCTCAGAATATTTTGACCCCCACTTAGCAGAAATGATGCAACAGATTTGAATATTTTGATTAAAAAATGCACATGTACGGTACAAACTGTGCTTTTTATTACGCTCACGTTTTATTCTGTTGCAAAAAAGGCGTAACAAATACTGGGTACACCAAAGTTGATTTCTTTGCAAGGAATGCCAATGTCATATAGAAACACATTAGGGCTTCACGCCGATAATGCTGTATTTTTGTAAATGACATCAATCATCTTTTCGTTATCCACCAAGGTACATGTAAAACAACGTGAAATAAAGTCGTACCCTCTTGTCTAATTTAAAGCATTACAGTTTTTCGGGAAGTAGGCTATTAGACAACACTCTATAGTATTTCTTGAAAGGTGCATTTAAGCAAAGTTTTTGCCACAAACCCCGACCTAATGCCACGTAAATGTACCATATATTTACAAATCGCATAAGTTAAAAGAATACCGAAAGGTATGGTTCATATTTGCCGAAAATGATATTTTAATGGATATTTTCTGCTTTCTTTCTGTGCTATTATCCTCGGTTGTAACGACAACTCGTTTGAATTACTATGCTGTTGTACACGCAATAGTAAAGCACACTGCTTTACTACGTCATTTGGCAAATTTTTACGAACTGTAGGGACGGGTAAGTAAGTCAGATTTACGACCAGAAATTTGAAAAAGGTGAAGTATCCGCTAATAGTCTGACAAAATTATGTTTACATTTTATGAACTATTTTAGAGGCCCCTGATAACAGAGGGTACCAGTCACCAAGTCTGTCAACTTTTATTCTTTATTTGCCCTTAAGTCCAGTTCCTAACATATTTGAAAGATAGCTTTTTATACCATTCGAAAATCCCATAAGTATGTAAAAAGATGACAAGCAAAATGTGTGTATGGAAGTGGCTTTTTTCACGACGTATTAGTTCAAAGTCGGATCATCTTGGTTCGTGAAATAATCAGTGACACAGTATCATTGTTTGAGATATATCAAGAGAATTTAATAAGAAACAAATCAAAAGCAGTCTCCACATTATCAGCAACTATATATCGATCCTTATTTCCATTGATGGTCAAGAAATATATAGCAGCAACACCACAAGTTTTTGCAGTCCCCCCCCTAAAAATCTCTCATCTTCTAGTGTTAATCAAAGTTAAGTTATGTGGTGACTGTGGTCATTGTATCTGTAATTCAGATTAATTAGTTACGAAATTTACTCACTAATTTTTTTCATTAAACCTACATACTCTTTTACCAATGAGATCAGAGCCAAATTTTCACAAATTTCCAGCGATGGCCGCGGCTTTCATAATAATATATTGGATGGCATAAGGTTTCATGTAAAAAAAACATCGTTCAATTAATAGCTAGTTAATAAGTTGCCAAACTGATTTATCCTAATAAACTGCTCAAGTCACAAATTAATTTAGAGAAGATATAAAAAAAATCAAACACTGAAAGTCAAACAGTCTCTGAACAGAAGAGAACCTCTGATGATGGTGAAGATACCACAGCTATTATTGTAACTAAGATCCAATAGCCACGATTTTCTTTTCCTGAAAATGCATCAAATTTGACCTGAAGTGACCATTGACTTCATTGGCTTACATGTTATTCAATGTTAGGCCTCCAATTTTTTTACTGATTAAGTTAGAATTATATATCTTTCAGATGCATAATAATTTATAAATTATTGATTAATCTCACTTTATTTTCATATTATGGATGTTTTCTTTCCCTACCCCCATTTTTTGGATGCGGCCAATTTACCAGCAGGTTGTTATATAATGACCATTTATGTGCGTTAAACTTTATGGACCAAAATAATGAACAAGGCTCCTAAGGTACGTTTTTCTTGATTAAAGAAAGGGGCGGGTAGAGGTTATTTAAACTAAAGTAGGTGTCTGTTTTACTAAGTTGAAAAAAAAAGGTACGACTTATTTCTACGTAGATGGACAAAAAAGGGGTTTGTGAAGTCATTTACAAGGACGATGTATCCATGAGCCTACTGTATTTCAATATGACTTTGATATTCCTTTAATTAAAATTCATTTCAAGGGGCCTTAGTAAATAAGTACAGTCATGGGTAAATGCCACAGGTCAGATAAAATTCCAACCCAGTTCGGTCCTGTTCTGAACTGCAGTGGATTCTAATCTGGCCTGTGATATAATACTGGTAGGCCGTGCAGGGGTCCATCGGTAACCAAGGTTGATTGTTGTCATGTGAAATGTGTTGTCATGTGTTGTCATGCTCATTTGATCAAGAGTCAGTTTCTGTGTGGAAGTACTATCAAATCAGTACCTCTCATTATGTAAAGACATTTAGACAAACTATATGAGGGTTATTCTAGACATTCTATACTTCTCTGCTTGCACTGATTTTTTTTATTTGGTTCACCTTTAGAAAGCTGATCCAGTCGAGGTTGTTGTAACCCCCGCCTAGACCTAAATACTTGTTTTGCTTTATTACTAGCTTTATAGTGATCAATATGATATGTCATCAAAACTACATTAGAAGAACCTTTTGTCTTAATTTCATGTTTTTTAAGGTTAACCCTACACATATTGACCGTCTCCAGACACAGCATTCTATTTTCAGTTAAAAGTAGGTCACATTAACCAGGGCAAGCAAAGCCGATGAGATAATATTTCCTACACTCCATCTGGTCATTCAAAATGATTCGGACATATGCTTTCGCGCGCACTTTGTACTGCCGGTCAGTGACTTCCAGCCAAATATGGAAAGCACCGAAGGGGGTGTGGCGAGTGCCTTGCTGCCCGGGCTTATATCAGAATGTCAACTGCCAGTTGGACTCGGGCAAATCTTTTGCCACGGAGATCCCCATTTGTAAAGAACGGGACGCGCATCACACAACACTAAACATGTGTCCTCACGGTGTTCAGGTGCGTGCTGATGAAAACACGCGCATGCTGCATGTTGCCTTGGAGGACGGCAATGTGGCCAGCTTTCCATACATCTGGCTACGCGATAGTTGCTTGTGCAGCGAATGTCATTCGCCTTCTTCAAGATCTCGGAGTTTGCTGATGGCTGAATTGAATGTGGACGTAAAGGCATCTGCCTTTCAGGTATGGAGCATTAAAAAAAATTTTTTTTAAGGAATAGTGATTGAATTAATATAGAAAAAGGTATTATTATTGTCCGTGTACTGTTCGATTATGCATTTATTTATTGAGTTAGGCCTGATTTGAGTGTGAGGTTATGCATTTATTTATCAAGTTATGCTGATGTATATAAACATAAACAAATCTTTCACAGTACAGAACCAAGATGATATGTTATTTGTAAATGAAAGTTAAGAATAAAGAAAAATTATTCAGGGGTTTTAGCATTCACTTTTACAGTGACCCAGTGGTTTTCCAGGATCCAAGCAATTTTTTATTCTGAAATATTCATCAAAATCCGTCCATTACGTTTTGCGAAATGTTCTCCACAACAGTTCTTAAGGTTCTGCTCCTAAAAAGCTGATATACTCAATAGATACAAAGTTCATATTTGGATGTTTATCTCTGACATTATGTGAATAGGCGCAGTAACCCAAAAGCCTAGGTCCCAACCGAACGTACGGGCTGTTACGTGTGGTTTACGGCCAAAAAAAATGGGGAAAATGTGGGAGTTCGTGCGTGAGGAGCACGTCCATTGTGCGACTTTTGGAGGACGCAAACAGCACGTAGAAACTTTTCACCAATGCATTACTTGATTCCTTCCCTGCGATCTAGCTACGTCCTAGCCGGACGCAAGGAACCTAAAAACCGTGCGTCCAAAACGTAGTTGGGACCTAGGCTAAAGGGTAATGTGGGAAACTGTCTGAATTTGACAAAGAAAGTGTATTTGAAACTCCGTGACAAAGGATGCCTTTGATATAACCTATATGAGCCCTCTTTGTCATGTTTACAATGAAATTGGATTCTTTTTCTTGTCATTGAGTACTGCAATGTAAATTATTTACGCTGCAAAACTACTTCATCAGTCCCATGGATGCATTAACATTATAAGTCTTTGATAGCTTTGATCAAAAGCTGGGACGCACACAAGTGCTCTCTTACATAGGCCTAATCACGCCTAACCAGTCAGACGCAGGGGAAAATCCAGGTTTATTTGAAGAGGGGGGGGGGGGGTCTGCGCATGCGAAGCCGACCCTTAGCCCCCCCTCCTCCTTGCGTTGGGTTTGGGGCCCACTGAAGGGCCCCGAAAAAATTTGGTATTTTAGAGGGCAAACAGTGCCATTTGGTACGATTTAGAACTATGATTCAGCTAGTCAAAATTCTTATTTCAAGAGGGGACCATTCGTGTGACTTTTTTCAGAAATCGAAGGGGGGGTAAGGCCCCCCCTGACACCCTCCTAAATCCGCCACTGAGACTGACCTGTCAACGGACAAGTCTGTACTTAGATTGGAAACAGGTGTGGTAACGGCTTTATGTGTAGTGGTTACCTGGCAAGGAAAGCAGTCAAGTTTTCCTGGCAAGAAAGATAATACGTATCACTGCCTTCGCTCACACTGGTATGGATGTTGTATTCTCATCGCACAGTAATCTCTTCTCAAGCTACCCACTTCCAAACTCTTTGGACTTTGCTTTTAAATACAAATCCCAAATTTTTCTCTCACTAAGGTGTCAAAAGTGATAAGTAGCTCAGGACAATTTTCATTCCCAGATAGCGATAAGAATATCTGTATTGTAATATTACGAAAGATCTTATTTACACATTCATATTACATAATAATTCATTGCCACCTGTAATCTGGTGCTCAAGGTGAGGTGCGACTACCAGGAACGTGTAGCTATCAGTTTTTATTCCAAAATTTTCTTCTATCGAGGGAACTCTTGTTATAAAACAGAGCATCACTACAGCCGTCAGTATACTGCTATTCCGTACCAAGAGGATTTTCTCCGCTTACCATTGTAGCCAATTACGCTCACTTTATTGCATCTGATACGCCCTACAGTGTACATGGTAGTCGAAATGAATGGTTTTGGTGCTTGCTTTACAGTTACCTAATATAATAACGAAAAGGTGGATACAATTCAATTGGCGTTGCTAATACACAAATTTCTGAGGAAAACGTGTGGTCGAAACGGCAAAGGATATTATGCTTTTTTTCTGTTTTAGGTGGATCCAACTACAGGTGATATAGAGGTAACTTGGGACGATGGTCACGTGAGCACCTATCAACTTGACTGGCTTAAGAAACATAACTTCAGTGCTGAGGCTCGCCGCTGTCGTTTGAGTGATACCTACCTTAAGGGAGGTAAAAAGTTTTGGGGAGCCGAACTAAATGGAAACATTCCTAGATTTGATTTCAAGGAGGTACGTAGTTAAATTTTTTTACTTCTGTTAAGTTTTTAATGAACTTCAAACTGGGATAGAGCCAAATTCAAGGACTCTAGCTACAGCAATGATCTTCAACAAATAAGATATCTTACTGTGTGTTTCCTGACCGCCAACAGTTTCATAAATGCTTTCACTTACCATGGAGTTGAAAAATCTTAAATGTAAATGCTATGTATATAGACAAAACATTATTTCCTTTAGTAAGAAGTTGCGTTGGCTTAGAATACGCTTCCATGCCCATATTTGCAAACAAAAGTTTGAGTGCATTTTAAGTAAATTTCTACACTTAATTTCTGTTTGTGACTACCTGATAGTATTGATTACACATTTAAAACTGAATTGCTCATTGACCGTACAATCAGTTTACGGCGTCGGCATGTGGGAAATCATCTGTGATCGGCGATGTTGTCCTCACATATTTTGCACTCCAGGTAATATCTGACAATGAGCAAATGTACCGCTTTCTGGACACCATACGGGTCACAGGGATTGCGGTGGTTCATAATGCGCCACAAGATACGGGGGTCTGTTGTCACACTCGGGAACGCCATAGCCTTCATTAGACCATGCAACTATGGGTATAGATTCGTTGATTTTCTCCTTAGTTAAGATTTACCATGTAAAGCATAATGCGAAACATTCCCATCATTTTTGTAATGAACTCATTTTTAAATAAGTATTACATTTTATACATACTGTAATTATAACATACTTTTGTAAAGTAAAAAGGGTAAAAATGAATTCAAATCTCGCTTAATTCAATTTTAAACATATGTTTAAAAGTGCTTTCATTATTTACAACTTCATTGACTCTCAACTTTTCAACTTCTCAATTTGCAATTTTAGGTAATGTAGAAACGTTTGCTTATTCATATTTAATTGTTTTCCTATATTTCCAATGGTTAGGGACACTTTTCAAGTATACACGCGTCCTGATCCAAAGAATGCTGCCTATACAGCCGGTGCATTGGAAATGCACACGGACTTATCTTATTTTGACTACATGCCAGGCGTAAGTTTACATTATTCTTTTAGTTTGTGAGACGTTCATAATACATTTTATAATTCTACAGAAATAGAGACAAATGGTCTCCCTTTCGTCACTTTCTTGCCATGTCTGTCACCTTTATTCTTCATTTATGCTTAGGTCCAGTTTCTTCATTGCATCAAGCAGTCGAACATGGGAGGAACAAATCAATTCGCCGACGGATATTATGCTGCCGAAAATATTCGAAAATCCAATTTAGCCGCCTTCAACCTACTCGCCGAAACTGTTGTCGACTTCCATGATATGGGGCACGACCAACATGTTGGGGATTATCTCCAGCAGTCAAGGGGCACGACCATACAGTAAAATGAAATGCCTTCTAGCTTTTAGTTTTAACCAGGGTATACACTGAAAGGTTCTCCAAAATATACGCCAAATTTTGTGGCCGCAATTCTGATATGTAAAATTAAAGCTGACGTTATCGCAAAGTCACATAATTTGTGGGACAATGTTTCGGTTCTCTGCTAAACTGGATAGTTTCCTTAATTCTTCAGTTCTTGACGTGCTTCTCATATTATTTATTTCTTACTTCTCCCAGACTGGATGGCGATGGGAACTACAACCATGTCCGCATATCAAACCACGGGAGATGCGACTTCTTAAATACCGACAAGGAACATGCTCGGGAGTGGTACAAGGCGTACATACTACTTTACCACTCCTTTTACGCCAAGGAAAATATGGTGGAATACAAAATGGAACCAGGTAAGAGGCGATAGTCACCACGGAGATGCCACTGGCTGCAAACTGGTCGTCTCATTTGATACAGTTGTGTGTCCAATGGGAATCATCCGAGGTAGCCCCAAGTCGCACGGCCTATTGTAAATGCAAGCTTGGTTAATTACCCCTAAGCCGCTTAAGATGGATGCAATTTATAGAGAATCCCCTCGGAGATAGATCGATCCACAGTTATAAGTACGATGGGGAATGGTTCCGTAGTTTGCTACCGGGGATGATTTCCGTTGATACGTTTTCACTGTTCAGTCGTGTTCAGTCAATTTTAAAGAAAGTCTATATAATTTCTATTGATTCAAGATTCACTCAACCATGCGCAGCGGGCCAGCCCCCTACTTAGCAATGGTCATTAAAATATTTTGCGGTAGCCAAATAATTTTTTCTTATACCCTAGTCACACTAGAGGCGGAATGAGCTTGAATGTAGTCGGAATGAGAATCCTTGTATATTCCTGGATATTCGAATTGCGTTCTAAAAATTCTGAGTGCATTCCAAATATACGGGCCCATTCTTGTGTCCGATCGGAATGTTTTGCTCATGCTCAAAACTTTCGAAGTGCATCCCAAGTGTATTCTAATTGCACTTTGAGTGCACTCTTAACATTCTTACGCCATTCCAACAGCATTCGAAACATTCTGATCGCATTCGAGGGAGAACCGAAATGGCAAAACGCTTCAAATCCTGCTAGAATGTTCTGCAGTGCCTCAAATGAGACGGAATGCAACTCGAATGCATCTCGATGGCTGCCGAAATACTATTTCAGTCGGCAATCGAACTACACTCGTACGGCATTCGTAGTGTATTCTTATTGTTCTGACTGCATTCTGACAGCATTATCGATATTCCTAGTTTTCCAACTACATTAGACCTGCATTTGAGTGCTTATACACCCGAAATGTGAACAAATCATTCCAGGCTGATTTAAGCGCATTCTGAGTATTCCAACAGTATTCTTATTAGGTCATCAGTATGTAGGTCAATTTGAAATTTCTTCCCGAATGTGGTGCGAATTTTGAAAATTCTCCATTCCAGCTCATTCTGCTTCTCATAATTACTAATGATTCGTTTGCCTACTGACATGCATGTATGCTTTGTTACAGGTGAAATTATCTGCTTCGATAATGTCCGTGTCTTGCATGGTCGCTCCGCTATCTTTGCAAACTTCGGTGGTGAAGGCAGTCTACCAGAACGTCATCTGGAGGGAGCGTACGTAGACTGGGATGCCTGGAACTCCAAACTGCGCTCTCTCAGGGAAGAACTGGGACGTTAGAGCGACCTCCTCAGGGCGCGTTCCACTATGTACTGTAACTGTGAAAACAAGGCACCCTTTCTTGGGTTCATGTTACGTCACATTGACATCTATACTTTTATCTTAGCTGGGGCGTTGGGTGACCTCCTCAAGACTCCGAAAGTGCACACAATGAACTTCTTGTTGTTTATGTCATATTGACATAATAATAAGTTTTGTTGTTTATGTCATATTGACATAATAATAAGTTTCTCTTTATTTTTAGATTATTCTAATACAGCAAGCCATTCATTTTGTTTTGAGTCAGGCAAATTATTATGAAGGCCCAAGCAGAATCCAGTTAATTTTAGAACTACACGTAGCTTAGATCAGGGCTAGAATTCTTGAATAACAAAGTTTTCACTTTTCAAACAAAATGGCATTTATCAAATGTTGATATTCTGGTTAATACCCTGATGAATAAAGACTTTTTTATTTACAAATTATTTATGAATGGTGTGGAATCCGAAAGGTATAATCCCAACATCACTGTCATGAATACATGTGCCATTACTGTCATGAATACACATGCAGTGATGCTTTCCTTTCTTATCTTGCCCAGGTGAAACGTTCTTTAACCTATTCCAAACAAAAATTCTGATGGGTCTAAGCTAGTTTCAAACTGGATTCTTATCTGGTCTAGCCTAAAAACACCTATTTGTTGAATAATGACACAATATTATCTATACAGCAACTTGCTACAAATTATGTTATCAGAATACAAATAGCCTTGCACTTTTTTCTCTGAGAAATATAAATAAAGCTATTTACTTTATTCAGTCACTCAAAATCAAGTCCTTATCAATGTTTATCACTAACAAGATAGTTTTGTGTTAAGCTAATAAAATATATACAAGAGGTCTTTCATCACTGGGAGATGAACTATTTCCGGATTCAACACATTATCCACCAATCCTTAATATTAAAATATTACATTATTAGTCATTTTTCTCCTTTGTAGGATCAGGTTCTTCATGTGGGCCTAAAGAGTCGGGATCACTGTATCCTATATCATTTTCTGCTTCCACACTTGTCCCTGGTGACACTGCTGGAGTCTCAATCTCCTCTTCTTCATTTTCCGCAGTCTCTGCACCTTTAGCATCTTCAATTAATTGTGTTTGAGATGGTGTACTTAGAGTCTTGTATATTGTCATTGCCTGAAAGTCAATGGGAAAAGTTCAATAATGTTTGGCTTTATAAAAAGCAATTTCTTTTTTCCAAATATCATGTGAAAGGACAACCCCTTCAGTTTTCTAAATGATTGTAACATTTTCCAAAATAATCAACTGACAGATTAGACGATGATAAGTTTTACCACAGATTATTTTAGCAATCTGTGTATGTATGTTCAGGGGCAATACACAACCAATGTGTACATGTCTGTATGCATGTGTGTGCATGCATGCTTGTGTTCATCCATAAACACATACAAAACACGTACCTGCCCCACCATGCTGCTTATATCTCCTGTGTTTGTTGGCAGAAGCACAGTATTACCAGTCTTTGCCAGATTGCCAAATGCAGAGATGTACTGCTCAGCAACAGTCATGGACACTGCATTCATACCATTCTGAAATTCAAGGCAGAGGTGTGAATTCACTAATGATTCCTGTCACTGGTTAATTTCAGTTTTCTTGAACATCTAAAGAATCCTACTCTAGAGACAATTTTTTTTTGTGCAGAGTTGCTCTAAGTATATGACACTGGCAAAACTGTTAATAAGAGTCTTTTTTAACAATGCCAATGTGTGAAAGACCAAATGTACAACTTAATGCAAAGTACCAACTGGTTTTTAGTTTTTTCATTCAAAGATTTTTTCAAACATTTAACAATAGATTGTTGGTATCCTAGCAACAATTGGGGATATTACATTACCTGAGCTCCAATGGCTTTGGCAACTGCCCGTGTTGCATCTGCACGTGCATTAGCTATGGCTAAAATAGCCTCTGCTTCACCTTAAAGTACAGTTATAATCTATTCAGAAATCTTTTACAAGTTTCAATTATATAAGAGAAATGAAGAGTGTTTTCATTGTCTGTAATTAAGAAATTACAAATAAGATAAGATTTTCAGATTCAATACTCCACTAGAAAAACTCCTTCATTACATATTAACTAAAATAATGTTTCAACTAGAAATAACCACGCCTCAGATAAACCTCACTGGCTATGGTACCACCACTGTTGTTATGGTTGAGGAAAGGCAATTCAATGTTTTTAAAACAGAGTTGGGTTCTTGTCAGTGAAATGTGCACTTTCTAGTGACTAACTTTTCTAAATTTCTAAAACATAAAATGCTAGGAAAGGAGAAGTGGTCAACATGTGAGAGTAAGAACTGTACCCAAAGCTCTGTTGATATTCTCTGTCCGCACAGCTTCAGAGGCGAGAATTGTGGCCTGTTTCTTGCCCTCTGCTACGTTAATTTCAGCCACTTTCACACCTGGAGATATCAAGAATAACAATTTTCTTACAAAATCTACTCTCTGACATTATGTCCAGGAACTAGATGTGATATTATGTCCAGGAACTTCATGTGATATTAAAATGGATGCTCAGGATTTATGACCCAGTCTGCATAGTTTTAGACGTGACTGTCACTGTTGAGATTTGTAAGACCCAGATCATAGTATTTTGTGTGTGAACAGATGTCTTCTGACACCAGCACGATGCAATAAATGTGTTATTTCAGAACTAGATAAGCACTCAGAAAGTGCAGACCTCCACAAAAGTAAATCAGTCTACAACTCAGGCTGTTAATGATTGTGCTAGTTGTCCAAACACAATGGGCAAAAGTAGTACTAAGGGATACTTTTAAATTATGCACAAATGAGTTAAGCAGTGGACTTGCAAATGTATTATGGGTTCATGAGAAGTGAGCAGGGTGGAGCTTATGGTACATGTTTGACAGGATGGATGGAGATAATATACACAAACAAAGAATTTAAAGTACTGCATTTGATCCACATAAATAGGGTGAATGGTGATCTAACCAAATCACCACCACAATCTAATCACTTTTAAGACAGCCCATTTCTTAGTTCTTGTAAATTTCATCAAAACCTGTCCTTTACTTTTTAAGTTAGGCTGGTGATAAACAGAAAGAAATGTAGGTGAACACATTACTTCCTCCTTAGCAAAGGTAATAAAAACTGCTCATATATACAGCAAACCACATTTACTATATAGACACCGCACCAAAAAGTAAGAAGTCTTGAAAATCAAGTCAATATCACAGCTACCTTCTGACTCCAGAATGGAGGCTCTTTTTTTTCTTTCAGCTTCAACCTGCAACTGCATAGCCTCTGCCACCTTTTCTGGCATTTTTATATCACCTGGTTAACAGCAAATAGATTAATATGACAAAATAGCATACACCTTTTCAAAATTTCAAATAAGTTGTCTTCAATTCAAAATAAACTGCAAGTCAGAAAATGTATTGACATACCCTTCAATAAAACGACAGGATCAAGAAATTGATGAAAAACAGAATTACTAGAACATTTTTGTTGTTTTTCTAAAATGCTAATGCAAACAATCTGTCTTGTCAAGTAAAATGAGTTGTCTGATACATTGTATAAAACAGAGCATTTTCATGATTACTTATGTCTTCCATACATAAAATTCAAATTTTGATTATTAAATCTATAATATGCATGGTTATTAAAATCTGCATTGCATAGCTATGCAATCTTTTGTCTCTTCCCGTCGAATTCTTGAAGGGTGAGTCTACATGTTGCACAACTGTCTCAAGGCTTTTGTGGATTATTTTCTTATTTATGACACAGGGACTACAAAAATAATTTTACTTACGAATTTCATATCTCAAACATTCAATTCCCCATGAGTTTGAAGCTTTGTTTATTGACTCTGAAATAAAAATTCACAAAAAGTCCATCCTTGTTATAAAAACTTAAAAGTGATATGAATAACTAGCTTTCTACCATTTACAAAATATTTCATGCATCTCAAGAGGGAATATAGAGAAGTGCAACAGTAAATATTATTCTATGCTTACACCAATACAATTAAACACATTAGATGAAAAATATTTTTTAGGACAGCCCACTCCTTTAGGCAACAGTCCTGATATATATATGAAACTTTAGGAAGTGAAACTGGTATTTTTTCTCTCATTTATAATAATTACCTACAATACATGTATTGAGGGTCTCCCTCTCCCTGAACACTGTATCTAGTTCAATTTTACCAATTTCTGATCTCATAGTTGTCTGGGCTAATTGTGTAATGGCATATTCTGGGTCTTCAACACCATAACTAGCCTAAATAAAAGAAAAGTGCACCTCTAACTATTGTAAAACTCACTGATCAAAGCAACAAGATTTCATTATCTTTGTTCAAATAAACTAAATTCATGAGAAAAAAATACAGACCATACTTTATGTATAAATCCTTTATGTAGTGATAAAATCAATAGGTTAAAATTTATTTTTACATTATACTTTGCTTTGTTAATATAAACCCATATGAAACAAAAAAACAAAGAAATCAAGTTCTAGTAATATCCTAGAAACTACTTACTTTATATGGATCCATTACTTTAAGGTACAGAACACCATCTATTGCTATGGTGACATTATCTGAGAAAGAAAATTAATAAGCTATTTAAAAAAATCAATTTTTTTAAAAAAATTGTTAAAAGCAGTTGCTTCTAATATAATCCTTATGTTTCATCCTTTTTTTGCTTTGGCTTTGTTGTAAGTTCACACTATGGTAAAAACCTTTTTAAAAATAATAAGAAGCATCCTATCAGGGATCTCACTACAGATTCAACCATGATTAAAGTAGACTACATTTTTTGGTCTTCAAGTTAAGATCAACTTCTGCATTAAAGGCACTTACCTACAGTGATAGCACTTTGCTGAGGAATATTTATGGCCAACTCTTTCAAACTTTGGACATATCTAATGGAATCTATCACAGGAATTTGGAAATTCAAACCCTGAAATGAATAAATTGTGTGCCACTAGACCATTCATCAAGTAAGAATTTGCAAAATATTACTTTAGGACCCTATCTTGGGGGTCCTAGCACTTCTATAACATATAAGCTGCACCTATGTGCCAACTGAAACTTCATTTGTATTGTGTTTCTAATAAAATTATTCTAATTTGTACGGAATTTGAAAAAATGCTTACAGGTTCTAATATTCTCAAAAACTTGCCAAATCTTTCCACTACCCAAGCTTCTTGCTGAGGTACAAATAACACCCCATAGTTTATAGGTAGGTCACTCCGGTATCGAGTCTGATGATGGTTGACTTGCTGTGGCAAGGGGCGAAGAATCTAAAAAAAAATAGAATTAAACTAATAACCATTTACTGGTATGATTGATGATTTCATCAAGTCTGCAGGTAAATATATAAACATATAAATATCCATTTTAGTTGGAGTTTTCATAACTTTTCATAACTTTAGTCAAAACTAGTCAATTTACAATGACAAATGCTAAGTTTTGGAGTCCATCTGGATAAGAAAGAAGAAACACGCCATGAACAAAGATTAGGGAGCAAACAATGTATTTGGTGACTTTTTTAAGCTTACCCTGAGGGTGTGAGGTCAAGAGGGACTAACAAGTTATCATCAAGACTGAGCTTATTACCTCTTCACCCTCACTTCAGCAGGTAATTTAGCTATGACCAAGTATGTCAAAACAGTCAACAGCTAAATCTACTTGGGGATCTAAACTAAGCTAAAAAATCAGTATTGAGCACTCTTCTTTACATTGAAAAAAAAAACAACATTTTTTAAAACACTTACCACCTTACCACCAGTTTATGTATCATTTATTTCCATTAACAAAACTACCGTTTTGAAATTGAACCTACACACACATCAACATAAAACCACCTGGTTAACTAGCCTACCAAATCCTAGAATCTTTCAAACCTATAATTAGGAAGATAATAAGTGCCATTAAATATCCATTTACAAAAACTGCCATAATAAAAGTTCCAAGAGTATAAGATTTCTACCAATTTTCATATTGGACATTTGTATGCTGCCTTACAACTACTGCTATTGGAACTGTATATACTAGTATACGTAATTGAAACATGACTAAGAACAGCTAGTACTGACACATAGACACACATGCAGTAAATACCAAAAAAAAGTGAATATATATGTAGACAGAGAAAACTTGGGTAAGACTTTCCACAGCTACAGTTATCATTATTATTGTTATTATTATTATTATTATTATTATTATTATTATTATTATATGGGGCATAATACATGTAGTTAACAAATTTTGCTTTATGCAGAATAATTGTAATGAACAAATGAAAGTATTTAAATGAAAGTTATCGCTTTTGTGATGCATTCTGGTGTTAAAAAACGTACAAACAAATTGGTTCCACAGTTGTGTTGACTGACTGTGAAGTTGTGAGGACACAACTGGAACAAGTGACATCACTCCTCAAACTTCAAAGCAGTCCAAATAACCAAATTGTAAGAATATATAAGAGGTCCATTTTTTCCATTTTAGGATGAAAGAACAGATATAGCATTTAAACGTATATGTTTATATGAACCTTAATATATTAAAGAGGCTGAAAATAAAAAAGAATTTACTAGTAAAATTGCATAAGAACGTCTCTCAATAATTCGTAGGTAGACATCGTTTGCCTAAAGAAAACTATCACAGTTGCTTGAATAAAAAACAATATTTCACAAAAAAATCAATCAATCATTTAGAGTCAACTTCTTGTTAACATACCCTTAAACGCAGAATATTTTTGGAAAGCATGATTACGATACGATCGTCCTCTCGGTCCTAATTTTACAAATCGCCATGTGCTTCCGGTCCAGCAGCCAATAAATGCTCTTCTTTTAGAGCTGTAGGTTTTTAAAAGTACCTGTTGATTGGTTGGTAATCACATTGCCCTTAACCTTGAGTGTAACCTAGATTATTGTTTTGTGTAGTTACAGTCATATTTTGAGGTTTTTATAGTAGAACATGCCGATCGCAGTGAAAGATTATACCTGGGAAGAAACAGAAAGTAACGTCAATATTGTAGTACCTCTGAAAGGAGTTAAGTCACACAAAGTTGATATATTTTCGACGGAGGAGTATCTTAAGGTGAGCATTTACTAGGACCTGTTTGTCTGAGTTTTACAATGAAGGTCTTAGTCGGGGCGCCTTATTCGTACATACAACCTGCAAGGTAGTTATAAGTCCTCTCTCTCTCTCTCTCTCTGTTTGTGTGTAAACAACCCGATTTAAAAACTTACGCCACTGCTTAATTGCATGAAGTTAGATGAATAATAGGAATGTAATAACTTTTACTTACAGTGTATAGCATATATATCTGCACGTCCGGGATACTGGATAACAAAAATGGGAAATGGGCATAAAAATTTCAACATGCTGCCGATCTTATGAGCATGCTTTCCACTTACAGCATGCATCGTATTTTGCTTTATGTTCATAAATTTTGGTAAAGGTAACATGAAACATACTGTATAAAAATTATCAGGAAAGGATACTTAACTTCACAGAGTTGGGAAAGCATGCTGTGATCCTGAATCGGTGGTTAAACAACGATGACATGAAATGGACTCTCATGCGCATGCTTTCTGCTTAGAATATGCAACGTATTTTGCTTTATATTCATAAAGTTTGTACATACATGTATGTGAACAAAAACCAAGTGTACTCATATGTGAGTAGAGGTACTGGTAATACAGGTACATAGGTTGAGTCAAATTGACCTTGAATCGAATTTTATTTCTAAATGTACTGACATGTTTTTTTTTCTGTTTTTTTCCACCCACATTATCTGTTTAGGTTAGCTATCCACCATATTTCTTTGAAGTGCTGTTATTTGCTCCAGTAGAGGACACAAAGAGTTCAGCACAGGTTGGCAATGGAGCTGTTGTTTTCAACCTTACAAAAAAAGAACCAGTGTTGTGGTCTCAGCTGCAGTCACCAGATTTTAGTATGTTCATTTAAAATTTTGTATTTATTTAAAAAAAAGTAAGATCCAGCACCAGGTTTGATTTAGTTACCATAACTCTTAAATATCTGGCATTCCATCATACAATGATTTAAGAAATGTAGACTCCAAATCCACATGTGTTTAAATTGGCAGTTACTTCTATAAGCACCAGTACTGTAGTTTGCAATTACAAGTTACAAGTTCAAATAATTTTTATTATACTCAAGTAACATATTTTTTAATGAATATCTTTCATACAGAACAAACTTACATATATTATGTGTGTGCCATTTGGAAGTTTGAAATAAAAGGGTTCACACCATTAAAACTGTTACAGTATTATTTCAATGATTTGTAAATATTTGTCATAGTATATTTTACCAAACAGACAATAAAGAATTCATGAGGCAGAAACGAGAAGATGTCATCAAGAAAGCCCATGAAAGAGCAGAACAAGATGCTAAAGACAAAGCTGACAAGAAAAGAGAAGCTGATAGGTTTTCTATTAAAGAACAAATGAGGGTAAAGTATTATTTTATTATCATTAATTTTTAATAATCTAGTTATTTAATAACATTTTTATAATAAAAATACTGAAAAGCACTTTTCTTGATAAAAAGGCACTTAATGATTCATTATACTAGCCATGTACTGTTACTTATTTCAATTAGAATTCAGGTCTAGACTATTCATGTAATGCCAAGTAAAGGAGCCATTCTGTAACTTGGAGGATAACTAACAAATTTTGCACTTAAGATGGATTTTTCAGAAATTGCATTTATTGCACCTTATAGAAGTAAGCATTACTTACCTTGTTAGTTTTATTTGGATTTGTTTCGTTTTTATAAGGTTGATGATGAGGAAAGAAAAAGGATTGAAAATGCCAAAGAAGAAGAGAGGAGAAAAGCTACAGAGGAATTAGAGCAGTGGAAGGCACAACAGAAGGCTCTTGCTGAGGAGGTATTTTTTGGTCTCTTTTACTCCTATTTTACACTTTATGTGTCCTGCAAAAAATGTACAGTAGAACAATTGAGACAAGTAATTTGTTCTGAAGGTAAAACTTAATTTAAAAGAAATTTTATCAAAGGCACAATTTGGATTGCTTCTACTGTCACCTAATTAACATTTACCTGCCCATTTGGTAAAGAGATGCTGTGCAAATTTTTTTCTAAAAATATGCGTACATACTTTGGATCTGTTATTGAAAAGATTTTCCTATATATTAAGTAAGTGTTGTAACGTCTGATAATTTCCAAAGAGAAAACTTTATGAGAGAACAGTTTCATTAGCTCTGTATGTATCAATTCAAATTGTTGTTTTTCTTTTTATCAAGAGCTTGTAAAATATGTGGGTATTACCTCAAATATTTCTGTGCAAAATATTGGAGGTAATACCCACATATTTTACAAGCTCTTGATAAAAAGAAAAACAACAATTTGAATAGAAAACTTTATTTATTTATTTATTTATTTATTTATTTATTTATTTATTTATTACCTTTTTTTGTAAATCTTTTCTGGAGATCAGATGGTTCTATATGAAACCAATAAGATAGAGGTGAACATTGAAAAAACATACTGATGAACAAATGCCACCTTGTTTAATTTTCATTTCTCAATTTAAAGGAAAAAATAAGATTACTGGAGGAAAACAGGCTGAGAGAAGAAGAATTTCAAAGGGTCAAATCATTAGAAGATGAAAATTCAAAGCAAGAACAAATAAAGAAGCAACAGAAAAAGAAAGGTAGTAATTCACAGATGAATCATAGTCTTCTAACCAAATGCTATGAGAATTAATTCTGCAGCTGTCAGTCACTTTTTTCGCTCTCATTGGTGGTCATTTCACTTGAAGAACCAGGTCAGTTGACCCTTATCATTCGTGCACCACCTCTTGCATTATACACAAATAGGTTTCGGTTGCTAACATAGTATTTAACGTGACCCACATTTGANGAAAAAAAACCGAACGCGCGGGGGGGGGGGGGGGCAGCTGCCCCCCCTGCCCCCCCGGAGGCTACGGCCCTGATGTAATAACTTTTACTTACAGTGTATAACATATACATGTATATCTGCACGTCCGGGATACTGGATAACAAAAATGGGAAATGGGCATAAAAATTTCAACATGCTGCCGATCTTATGAGCATGCTTTCCACTTACAGCATGCATCGTATTTTGCTTTATGTTCATAAATTTTGGTAAAGGTAGCATGAAACATACTGTATAAAAATTATCAGGAAAGGATACTTAACTTCACAGAGTTGGGAAAGCATGCTGTGATCCTGAATCGGTGGTTAAACAACGATGACATGAAATCGACTCTCATGCGCATGCTTTCTGCTTAGAATATGCAACGTATTTTGCTTTATATTCATAAAGTTTGTACATACATGTATGTGAACAAAAACCAAGTGTACTCATATGTGAGTAGAGGTACTGGTAATACAGGTACATAGGTTGAGTCAAATTGACCTTGAATCGAATTTTATTTCTAAATGTACTGACATGTTTTTTTTTCTGTTTTTTTCCACCCACATTATCTGTTTAGGTTAGCTATCCACCATATTTCTTTGAAGTGCTGTTATTTGCTCCAGTAGAGGACACAAAGAGTTCAGCACAGGTTGGCAATGGAGCTGTTGTTTTCAACCTTACAAAAAAAGAACCAGTGTTGTGGTCTCAGCTGCAGTCACCAGATTTTAGTATGTTCATTTAAAATTTTGTATTTATTTAAAAAAAAGTAAGATCCAGCACCAGGTTTGATTTAGTTACCATAACTCTAAAATATCTGGCATTCCATCATACAATGATTTAAGAAATGTAGACTCCAAATCCACATGTGTTTAAATTGGCAGTTACTTCTATAAGCACCAGTACTGTAGTTTGCAATTACAAGTTACAAGTTCAAATAATTTTTATTATACTCAAGTAACATATTTTTTAATGAATATCTTTCATACAGAACAAACTTACATATATTATGTGTGTGCCATTTGGAAGTTTGAAATAAAAGGGTTCACACCATTAAAACTGTTACAGTATTATTTCAATGATTTGTAAATATTTGTCATAGTATATTTTACCATACAGACAATAAAGAATTCATGAGGCAGAAACGAGAAGATGTCATCAAGAAAGCCCATGAAAGAGCAGAACAAGATGCTAAAGACAAAGCTGACAAGAAAAGAGAAGCTGATAGGTTTTCTATTAAAGAACAAATGAGGGTAAAGTATTATTTTATTATCATTAATTTTTAATAATCTAGTTATTTAATAACATTTTAATAATAGAAATACTTAAAAGGGCTTTTCTTGATATTAGCCAGGTATTGTTACTCATTTCAATTAGAATTCAGGTCTAGACTATTCATGTAATGCCAAGTAAAGGAGCCATTCTGTAACTTGGAGGATAACTAACAAATTTTGCACTGAAGATGGATTTTTCAGAAAATGCATTTATTGCACCTTATAGAAGTAAGCATTACTTACCTTGTTAGTTTTATTTGGATTTGTTTCGTTTTTATAAGGTTGATGATGAGGAAAGAAAAAGGATTGAAAATGCCAAAGAAGAAGAGAGGAGAAAAGCTACAGAGGAATTAGAGCAGTGGAAGGCACAACAGAAGGCTCTTGCTGAGGAGGTATTTTTTGGTCTCTTTTACTCCTATTTTACACTTTATGTGTCCTGCAAAAAATGTACAGTAGAAAACTTTGAGACAAGTAATTTGTTCTGAAGGTAAAACTTTGTTCTGAAGGTAAAGGCACAATTTGGATTGCTTCTACTGTCACCTAATTAACATTTTGTACCTGCCCATTTGGTAAAGAGATGCTGTGCAAATTTTTTTCTAAAAATATGCGTACATACTTTGGATCTGTTATTGAAAAGATTTTCCTATATATTAAGTAAGTGTTGTAACGTCTGATAATTTCCAAAGAGAAAACTTTATGAGAGAACAGTTTCATTAGCTCTGTATGTATCAATTCAAATTGTTGTTTTTCTTTTTATCAAGAGCTTGTAAAATATGTGGGTATTACCTCAAATATTTCTGTGCAAAATATTGGAGGTAATACCCACATATTTTACAAGCTCTTGATAAAAAAAAAACAATTTGAATAGAAAACTTTATTTATTTATTTATTTATTTATTTATTTATTTATTTATTTATTACCTTTTTTTGTAAATCTTTTCTGGAGATCAGATGGTTCTATATGAAACCAATAAGATAGAGGTGATCATTGAAAAAACATACTGATGAACAAATGCCACCTTGTTTAATTTTCATTTCTCAATTTAAAGGAAAAAATAAGATTACTGGAGGAAAACAGGCTGAGAGAAGAAGAATTTCAAAGGGTCAAATCATTAGAAGATGAAAATTCAAAGCAAGAACAAATAAAGAAGCAACAGAAAAAGAAAGGTAGTAATTCACAGATGAATCATAGTCTTCTAACCAAATGCTATGAGAATTAATTCTGCAGCTGTCAGTCACTTTTTTCACTCTCATTGGTGGTCATTTCACTTGAAGAACCAGGTCAGTTGACCCTTATCATTCGTGCACCACCTCTTGCATTATACACAAATAGGTTTCGGTTGCTAACATAGTATTTAACGTGACCCACATTTCATAACAAAATATTTAGTTTGTATTAAAAACAATTTTGTTCAATTTTAGAGAAAAAGAAAAATATATTTGAAAGTGAGGCAAAAGGATCTGAAGTAAGAAAACCTGGCCATATCTCTGTCTCCTTCACAGAGCGGGTCTTCCCAACTGCAGCCAGGGAGTCCCAGGCTGAGCAAGAAGATGAGGTACTTCTTTTACAGCGTTGCTAACTCTGTGCCTTTGTAAGACGATCTTCATTTGTACTCTTGACTCATTTTGTTTTTTTTAAGGTGGAATAATTGTGAAAAATTTTAATAACTCTTTTGTTTATGGTCTCATGATATTTTTAATGAAATCTGAAAAACACTTATATAATATGATTTTATCTTGTCTGTGTACAGTATTAACTCCATTTATTCTAACATTTATTTTATTTGATTCAAATGTTTTTAGGAGCATGCTTATTTTACTTAAATTTTTAATTCATTTGTTGCTGTATTTTAGATCACCTGTGGTAATATTTTTTCTTACTTTTATCTTATTTATTATAATATTAGTGGTTAAGAAAGCAGGCAGAAACAAGAAGAATAGCAGAAATGTTTGACAAAGATTTGACAGAAGAGGAAAAAAATCCACAGTGGCTCAGGGATAAAGGAAGGTCTGTTGTACCAGAAGTAGTTTTAAAAACTTCTTTTATTTTGTTAATTTAAAATTAAGTTTTGGTTCCAGTTGTCTGTTGTCCTGCATGAGAGAGAGAGCAGAAAGAAACAGCCATATCAAAGTTTTTGGCACTTTTTGCTAAATTACCTGAATAATTTACACATGGATTATTGATCTGGGTCTTTATCAGTCACCAGTTTCAGGTACGAAAAAAAATTATAAACTATAGAAACTTTATTTTTTATTCCAGTTCATTCTTCAAGGCAGGGAACTATCATGCAGCCATCAATGCCTTCAGTCATGGAATTAAACTAGACAGCAAGATGCCCTCGTATCCTTGTATAGCAATTATTTCTGCATAGAAGTGTCCAGTTGTTTTAGAAGTGATTGGATAATTGTGCAATTTGCTACAAAGATATTGATATTACTATTTTTTTTTAGACAATAATCTTTTATTTTCACCCTTTTTTCCTGAACATTTTCACCAGACTATACTCCAACAGAGCTGCTTGTCACCTCAAGTTAGGAAATTTGATCAAGTGTGCAGAAGATTGCACAAAGGTGAGAAAGCTTTTTCTCATAGCAGGTCTTACAAAGCACTTTTTATCTTTAAGGTCTAGGTGTTTAAAAATGGTTTTCCACAAGAAAAACTAAATTGCTAATAAATTAACCATTTCTTTTTCTAGTACAATGTTAATGACCTATACTTTATCATTTGGATTTTTTTCTTTATTTTTCTATATGGTTTTCACATTTATTTGGATGGAATGTTATAAAATTTATTAAACCCATTTCTACAAAGGCTCTAGAGCTGCTGACCCCTCCTGTTCCACAAAATGCCAACAGCAGGTGTAAGGCCCATGTGAGACGAGGGACAGCTTATTGTCACTTACAGCTATATGTGGAAGGTAAAGTGCCAATACTATGAAGCATGTTTTCTTTTACATAAAATATACTAATATATATATTATATATATTACTATATATTATATTTAATATTATATATTTAATATATTTAAAAGAACATTGATGTACTATATATTATATTTAATATTATATATTTAATATATTTAAAAGAACATTGATGTATATATGGAATTAAGAACAATGTTTTCGCCTTCCAACACAGATTAAAGTCACATGCTAAATCTCATATTTACAGGACTTATGGACTATGAAGAAGCTCTAAAAATAGATCCCAGCAATGAACAATTAAAAATAGACGCAGAGAGGATACGAAAGATTATCCAAGGCACTGAAGAAGTATGACACGTAATAAGCCTTTCAAGACGATCATTTGGGCATTAACCCTTCATTCCAGAATCAGTTTTGCAAACCATTCCAGTCAAAGATTCCAGAGGAAATGAGATTATTGAGAACTTTAAAATGCAGGGAATCTGAGGCCAATTGAATTTCATTTTTGCCAGTAACAGAATTCCATCCAAAAATAAAACTTTTTAGAGTTTTAATTTTGCTGAAATAATATATGTAGATGTCAGTGATGTATATGTGGCCAAATAAAAGATAAGAAAATTAACATTTTGGCATGTGATGCCTGAATTTATTACTTTCTCCTCAAAAACTGAATAACCAACACAGAACCATGATTGAATAACATTGCATTAATACCAAAGTAACCCCTAACAAACAAACCTGTTTAACATGAAATCCTTTGAAAATATTTAGTACTAAATCTGTGAAGGCAAAGTTTGTGTGCATTTCTTCTCATATGCTTATAAGTGAACTGTATCACATACTAGTACACAGCAGTAACAAGTCACTGTATGTAATTCAGTGTATGTTCCATCCAGACATTTTAACAGTCTCATACAGATCTTACGGTGAACAAATGTATTTTTCATAATAATAAGAGCATCATCAACAGGTGCCAACCTATTTCTATATTTGAAGGCCTGCAGTATGCTCAAGTGCTCTCCCCCATCTTTAAGGATGGGAAGACTTCTAATATGCAGGACATATTACTTTCAACAGCAATAGACAGTTCTACTAGCAGACTAAAATGACAGATAAGTGTTGGAGCAAATCCATAACAATTACTGATGAAGGTGGGGTTGATTTACTTCAATTCTACAGAAGATAAATACTAAGTTGGTATAATTTCAAATTTACCATTCAAATATCATTTACTTTTTTGACCACAATACATAAAGGCATTGGCACACTATAGAGCTAACAATCACATAGTTGGGCAACATCAGAGACAGTACGAAATATGCAACAAATGGGTATTAAGATGTATCAATAAAATACAATTTCACAATTAATTCTATCACACAACAAACAACATTTCAATGATTTATCAATTGTAAAAATCAGCAATGACAGTTCAAACCCAAGAAAAAAATGCATACTTATTTTCTTTTGTAAAAGGTCACAAATTGAGGGATTACTCCTCTGACTAAAAAAGTCAAATATCATTTTGCATGCCAACATTTGAATGTGTGAATAAAATTGAACATGCCATTTGCAACCTAATTTCATCACTCTTTACAAACATATTATGTACTACTAGTTGAAATATCAAATTTTGGATTTTTTACAAGCTGTACAACTTATTTACAGAAAAATATAACATTCATAATTATCACTACTCTTTAAAATATATATAATCATAACTTATATTTGATTATATTAGATTTTAATTTTACTTATTCATGAAATTCAGTCAAATGACTTTAACGTATGGTAATCCTTTCAACCAATTGAAATTCAAATGTCTAAATAAGTAAAATATGTAAGTAATTTCAAGGGGGGGGGGTTTAAAGTTCAGAACAATCAGCATATAAAGTTTTTGGTAAAAAAAAACAAGTTGTAAAATAACTTTTGTAAATGGTCTTTGACTACTCAAATATATCACTGAGTTTCCAGAGAGTATCAGAGGTGTTAAGCTGATTATCACATAGGTGGTCATTTAGGTGAATTATATTTAAGAACTTTGAACTTTTTAAGCAAATATTTGTTACTATAAATACTGTATGATGAATAAATTCATATCAAATAATTAAAAGAATGCTGTATACTAACAGATACAATTTATGTATAAAAATTCAGAAAAAAATCAACATTTCTTACTCTATATTTCAGGACAAATTAATTCAGCATATTTTCATACTATTCTTCATACAGACTCAATATCACAACACTCCTGCAAATCTGTTTTAAGTGAAACACTGCACAAAATCCCTGCATCAATATTATTACAGGCAAGATATTGGGGGTTTTTCAGAGCAGAATAAGAAATCACATCAAGCTGAGATGAAGTAAAATAGTAATTGATATTCTCATATGCAATTTTTATGCAGCTTTGCAAAACCAATTACAAACCTGAAATATATTCAAAAAGTGCCCAATAGTTGCTTGTACTTTCCAAAATGTGTGCATTCTAGTATAATGATCAGTATTTTGCATCATTTCACACCTTGCACCAGTTTTTTGATTCAATGTCCAGCCAACATTAGTATCTTGCACTATGCTATATCTCTGCATCTCAGTAAAATTGCATGTCTTGCTCAACAGGACTTGAACCTCAGGCTCGTGCACATGGCCACTTGCTATAAAGGAATTTCATATTCGCATTATACATTTACCTATGCAATATTTAAATCCAGCTTAATGAGGTGCATTGTTTCCTTGACTATATGGTATACTGACATGGGGAGGGGTCACACCTTGATGAAGGTGTTGCTGAGACCCAGGGGGAGGGGTCTGCATGCCTGAGTGTCCCGCCTGTCCCTGTCCCCTGGGGGGTGCAGACCCTCTTTGTAATATCATCACTGGAGAAAAATGCTGACCTGGGGATTGAGGGTTTGGGATCATGACCCCTCCTGGGGAGCCAGCAGCTCCGCCCCCTGAACCCTGACTCATCATGGGATTGATATACAAGGGGTTGAACTGTGCTGCCATCTGCTGGGCTGCTGATGAATTGTAAAATGGTTGCCCGTGGTATGAGCCACCTGGAGAGCCACCCTGATGTCCATAATGTCCACTTATTTGTACATGCTGACCACTAGGAGATGTCCATTGTTGCTGCTGGTGATGGTCACCAGATTTGTAATTTCTGCCCGGAGAATTCCCCTGGGAACCAGGTCTTGCACTGTCCCCAGAGTGAAAGGGCTTAGATCTTGACTGAGGGGAGGTCTTGAACTTGTAGTCGGGGAGTTTATCCCACAGCTGTATTAACTGGGCCCCTATACTAGGCTCTATCTCCTTGAAATATTAAGGTTGAAATTCAGTGTCATTTTACATAAAATGTTCCAAAAAAATGTTTAAATGCAATGTTTTCCAATAAATAAAATATGGACGTATATTTCACAGCACCATTAACATACACTATAGTATTAAATTTTTGAAACTTCTCCACAGTTTTCCAAACTGTATTAAAATCCAATTTGACAAACATGAAATTTCATAGAAATGGACAGAATGGCATAGTAGTAGTAGTAGTTTACCTGTCCATCCCTGCTGATCTGTACTCTTCTGTTCTCATTCCAAGGGTTGGTTAAATGATGGGTGTTCTTAAATGGGAGGTTGGCCCTGTAAAACACAAAAAAATACAGAACTTAATTACTGGCATAGGGCTTAAATTTTAGCCATTTTCTTCAAAAATAAAGCCTTCTGCTCCTATTAATCTTGTACAAGTTTTAGAAATGAATGCATCCATATCTGATAGAAATCTATACATATAAAAATTCTATCAGGAGAGCAAATGGATAAGTCCAACTTCACTTTTCATCTTAAAAAGATTTATATCCCCACCTTTTAATCCACTGTATGCTAAGAGTGCCACCAAGCCCTGGGTAGTTGAACTCGGGAGCTTTCTCTTTGATAGGTTCAGCCAACATCTTGGCAAAACCCTGGAAATGGCCGCTGCCTTGAACTGAGAAGATCAGATAAACCACCTTGCCCTCCTGAAAGTTAACATTAAGTATGCTCAAGTATTCAATGCAAAACACGTTTTTTAAAAATGTTTTTATTACCACATAACCAACATTATTACCATAACATACCAGCATGTATCTTTCTGAAGAAAAAAAAAGTTCAAGAGCCATACCCCATATTTCATGTTATCAGTTCAAGATACTTTACAAAAGCATCTCTAATTCACATACCCTGAATGCCTTGACAAGTTTCCTCTCAGTCTGTATCTGAGGACCCCAGATCCCACGGTTAAAGGAGGCATCCAGCTGTTTATCATTATTGCATTTGATCACAAAATAGCAGCAGACTACAGAGCCACCACTCCCAGCTGTAGATGGCGCCACTGGCTGACCTGTCCTGGCTGGGGAGTTTGGCTGCTGGGGGAGATTGCAGGGACTAGGACAAGGACTGTTACTGGCACTTCCCTTCAGGGAACTAGATGCTGACCCTGGGGCACTGTTACTTCTGGATGACCCTGCTGACCGATCATCATATCCTGATAGAATAAAGCATTATGCAAAACTTACTATACGTGATATAATCTTATATTCAGTGCTGATAAAATACTTAAAAAAATAAAATTTAACATTTACAATATCAGCTATCAAACTATATGCCCACTTCTATGCATGCATCTAGCTACGTCAAATGAAACAGAGCTTTCAGTCTTAAACCAAAAATTAGTTTCCATTTTCAATGATAACACAATTATAATTAAAAAAAAAAAAAAAATCAGCCAGTTACAGAATTTAAAACAAAGTCTCCACTAATGTCTTATGTATAACAAAAACCATCCTACTCTTCCGTCTCCCAAGATCTTCCCTCCTCTGTCTGCCATCAGAGTCATCTGACTGCTCTGATCCTCTCCTGCTGCCATCATGCATAGAACTCTCTGCAGCTAAAATGTCAAAGTCGTCGCTTTTGAATTAATCTAAATAACAAACTTTTATTTAATAAAGACTTGGTCATCTTTAAAAAACCCTGTCATCTATAGAAAAACTATAAAAGCTATAATTCTTACAAAAAAAAATTATTTCACTTGACAGAGAAGAACGGAGAAAAGCAAAATCTGGTTGTCTCAATATTGGTAAGTATGAGGTTTATCTATCATTTATCTAGCTATAAAAATGAGATATCTACACATAGGTCTTGGTCTTTGGCCTATACCAGCTGGCTGTTGCAGTCCCAGGGCCTGCTCTTCACTGGTGATAACATGGGTTAGAGTGCGCAAGATACTCTGGAAAAATAAATAAACACAATAGTTCTGCTTCCACCAAATACTAAAGACTATCACTTCCCAAGTATGTACATTAAAAAAGCTTTGAAAAGGCCTGAGAAAACTCCTGTGAAACACAAGGTCTTTCTTTTGATCCAGCCTATAACTGATCAACATAAAAAGGCATGTTTCTAAAAAAATCAGACTAAGACTACTAAGACAATTACTATACCTCATCAACTTGTGACCAAGGTTTAGAGGGTGAGCGCATTCTGCGAAGAAGTAGGGAATGCCACTTTTGTCTCAGTTGCAGAGTAAGATTGGCAACCTAGAATAATTATGGAAACATTTAGGGCATTGCTTTCAATTCTAATAATCAAAATACTTCAAATGAATATCTGCAGTTGTATTAAATAATTGTTTTCCCGCCGTACAGCATTCAAACAATTTAGTCACAATAAAGGTGAATATTTTCGTAAGACATGTCTAATGTACATAAACAAAGGAGGAATCTAACATAGATAATACATAGCCCCAACTTGTTTCTTCAAAGCATGGCATACAGCCCAGCTAGCCTACCTCAGGTTCTAACTTGAAGCCCACCCAGTCATCCAGCTGTAGTGAACACCTCTTATTGTCCTCCTTGTCTTCTGTTTCACTGTCACTGTTTTCTTCATGGTAACCATTACCCTGGACTAGCTCTGAAATACAGTACTTCTATCCCTCACTGCTTTGCATTATCAAAATGTTGCCACTAGTAGTGCAGAAAATAACTATGTTGGTTTTAACATATGCTTCTCTTCTCAGTATTTCATTATACACTTTTCCAAATATATATTCACTGTATGTTTTCATTCAACTCTGGTTTTTACTAACTAGAATAACAAACAACAGTAAAAGTACGGAGCACCCACCTTGTAAATTGCCCTCAGCCTCCTTGACCACTTCAGGAGGCAACTTGGATGGTCCAGCAAAGAGAGACACTGTGATTGGTGACACCACTGTACAACAGCGCACACTGGCAAATCTCTGTGCCCGTGTCATCTCATCATAGATGAGCCAGTTGGTGGGCAGGCTCTTCACTGTTTGTTTATGACTGCTGGAGAAGACTGTGGCACTGGTGGGTGCAGGACTACAGACTGACAGGTTGTGAAATTTGATGTTGTCCTCTGATCTGGATGTGAAAAGGATAATCATTCAAGGGGAAAATGTGCATTTGTATTGGGAATGTTATGTCTTTCCATTTGCATGACTGTATGTTGCAATATATGTTGTACACTTATAAAATATATTATACAATGGAAGACATCTTCACAAGAGTAAATTCTGAAGCCGTTAAGTGAAGTGTGGCCCTGAAAACATCTAGTATAATACAGGCAAGATCAAGTCTTATACTTACTGTGACATCAGCTGGTTCTTTGTTCTGTTTACTTGTATCAAGTTGGGATAAAGCCCAGCACAGAGGGCAGCTTTGACCACAGCCCAGTTCTCTGAATTAGCGTTCAGGTCACGTATGTCACCTCCCCCACGTGCTCGAACAAACCCTGAAGCTCGCAGCTGACCAAGTAGTTGTGTTCTGTAATTCATATTCACAGTTTTTACCTCAGTACCAATCTTTTGTATCTAACCTGCATACTAATACAACCAAAAATCAAACCTACTAAATAAAATTGTCCATTTTATCCAACTGTGATAATATATGAACAAGAATAACTACCTCATTCCCACAATCATTTCCATAGTGGCTGCAGACAGATAGTTTCTTTCACAAAAAGATTTCTCCCAGCCGTCTGCCCTTGCCTTCTGCCAAGCCTGGAATGCTCTCAGCAATGTCATGTGGTCACTGAACGTACCAGAGGCAAAGGTTTTTCTTATCATGGCTAAAGACCGCTTCTGATATGGCTGGGATGGCAGGAGAACTGGCAGAAAAAAAACAATCAAATACAAGCAATTACTTCTCAGGACTTTGCAGATTTTATTCAGACAGGATTAAATAAACTGACATTAAAACAATTTATTCCTTAATTGCTTCAGTAAAACTTACAAGGCCTAAAACCCACAACACACCTGATTAAGAAAATTGACCTGAAATGGCATACAGCATATAGTGATTCAACAGCGATTCAATTTAGCTTTAATTTACTGTCTCCCTGTTTTGAGAAAAACATTCTTTCCTGCCAAACTTACATGGGTCCTTGTAGGCCAGAGCACAGGCAACAGTGAGGATAGGATCCAGACACTTGAGGACAACTGAGAAAAGGACCATCTTGCCATACTTGGGCTCTACTGGGAGATCAGACAAGTGGTGGCCAAGCTCTGTCAGGTCCTCCCACTGGTCCAGGGCATCAATTTTCTGGAGAATAATGGGGGTTTGTTTCATAAAAAACTGATTGCCTTTTTAAAAAGTATATAGAAATAAAATCATCTCTTTGAATTTGACATTTTCATATCACAAAAAGATTATTATTATGTAGGATTGTGATGCAGTGAATGCGCATACATATTAACTTATCAAGACCTGAAAATTACCCAGGTGCACAATATACACATTTTGCAGTTATAACAGCAGAGTTCTGTGAAAAGATGTAAGCCATTCTCCCATGCCTCACCTGCAGCAGCTGCACAGCATTCATGGTGGTCAGGTAGGCAGGAGGCTCTGGAGCCTTAGCCAGGAAGTCAGCTATCGGGATATTGACAGGGGTCAGCAGTTTGGTATGCAGGCATAGTTCCTGGTATAAATAGGTTCAATTATTTATTCAATACATAATAGCAAATAACAACACACTAATTAACCAGCAAAATCATGAACATTATTGACCATGCAAAATGATAGAATTGATGGTCTGGCTATCAACCAAAAAATTAGTTGCTTTATCCAGGACTGATATTATCAAGAAAGCATTAACACTGGATTTTCTTTTTTGAAAAAGTGTACCAGGAAGACGGCAGCATGTTCAAGAAATACCCAGCACTTACCTCAAGTGGAAACCGTAGTATTTCTGGCAGCTGGAACTCCTGCATGTTGTTGTAACGTATTCTACTAAACAGGTGATAGCATGTGCCAGCACGGCAGCGACCAGCTCTGGAGTGAGAAAAATGCATATTGTCATTATGACTAAGCATAAAAAAGACTGAAATTATTTTTATATTGTTGAATATATTGCGGACTTAAAAAAACAAGTCTTAATAAGTTCAAAAATCTTTCTGTAAATAAACCCTTATATCATGATTATTTACGTACATTTCACTGCATTTACATGGATGTTTTTTTCTTCTTTTTTTATTTATTTCTTTTCCTTTTTGCCATCTGTGAGTCTACTTCAAACAAAAGACTAAATTCAGGAATTCTCAGATATTCTCTGCCATGTGCAAAGTTCTCACCTTCCTTTCCTCTGCAGTGCACTAGCCTTGGAGATCCAGTGACACTTCAACATGGACACTGATGTCAGGGCATCAAATGATTTCTGCAATAGTCATGATTCAACATTAGACTACATTTCCATACACCAATTGTAACATGATGACATTTAATGTAAAAATAATACGAATTATATCTAAAACAACATGCAATGTGTGTTCCTCAAAATATTTTAGTGTCTTACCTCCTTAACTTTCCCAGAGTCGATAACAAAGACAACATCATCAATGGTCAAACTGGTCTCTGCTATGTTGGTAGCCAGGATCTGGTATATAAGAGCACAGAACAGAACTAATACATCATCACATACAGCACAATATCATAACTATTAAACAGTATCAGTAACATGGGAAACTAGGAGATGAGTTGTAACTAAGAGGAATCAAACTTTTTTTCACAGAGTCTACTCACAATCTTCCTAACCCCTGCTGGGGGCCTCTTGAACACTTTCTTCTGATCTGTGGTCTGCATAGCTGAGTGAAGCATAAACAAAATGTACCTAAAAATAAAAGTATAATGGTATACCTAGTGTCTGTATAAAACAAAATGAACCCAAAAATATGTTAATATATATCAAGGTGAAGAGATGATCCCTCCAGATGTATAATGCTTTTTTTTTTCAGAAAAATAAATGGCAAAGAAGGATGGAATATTTACATTATATCTTACTTGTATAACATTTCCCTACTTGTATAAGCACTGCAAACATATCACTTAGTACAGAGAGGTAGAGATAGTCTCATGTAAAACTATAATTTTACATTTAATTAAAACTACTACATGTACATGTAGTATATATCAATATCAAGGTGTATATCAACAAAGTTGCATTAACCTGTTGCTGTCCCCAAAGTGCTTGTCATCATTGATAATCCTGTCACGTAGACCAACAATTTCAACATAGCCAGGCAGAAACACCAGAATGCTTCCTACAAAAACAATTAATAATCATATTTAATCATTGTAATATACCAAAAACATATTCTACTACATGTGTAGCTGTATTCCATTGCATTTTAACCTTGGCCTGAAAAGTCAAAATATCTTAAACTAAATGCAAAAGAGTAATCAAAATAATACTGTAAAATGAAATATAATATTTTACTAAATTGTGAAAACCAAAACCGGAAATTCTTTGTACATCCTCACTATAGGTCGCACACACACACACACACACACAGAGAGAGAGAGAGAGAGAGAGAGAGAGAGAGAGAGAGAGAGA